CCACTCACCTCAGTCTCCCAAAGGCGCAGGATTACAGGCTGAGCCACCGAGCCCGGCTTCCTTTCTTTCTTGATAGGATGTTAGACCTGATGGACTTGGCTTTAAAATGAACTGATTTTAGCCGGGCTTGGTGGCTCAGCCTATAATCCCGTGCCTTAGGAGGCTGAGGTGAGTGGATTGCCTGAGCCCGCGGGTTTGAGACCCACGTGGGCAACTTGGCAAGACCGCATCGCTACAATAAATCAAAACATGAGCCAGGCATGGTAGCGCGCGCCTGTAGTTCCAGCTACTTGGAAGGTTGAGGCAGAAGGATTGCCGGAGCCCAGCAGGTCGAGGCTGCAGTGGCTGCCGGGAGTGGCCACTGCACTCCAGTCTGGGCGACAGAGTGAGACTCCAACTCAATAAATAAATAAATAAATAAATAAATAAATAAATAAATAAATAAATAAATAAATAACATGAACTGATTTTGAGTCGAAGAGATGAAATAGTAGCAAAAAACAATCAACAAGAATCCCCATCCCTTTTCCCAAAAATGTTAGAGAAATAGCACACTGACCTACATAGAGCGAATCATTTTAGGGGGAAACACTAGTTACCATTCCAATGCCACCTGTCCAAATCTCCATTTAGAATGAACTAGGACAAGGAAACCACACATGCCATTATGGTCCTAAGAGGAATCTTAGGAATCAGAACTAGGTGATGAGGACAGACCTGTTTATTCTCCATCTCCCAATACCACACATCATTGAGTACATACTCTGTCTTATACAAGAAAGCCCCAAGTATCCATTAACAATAGGACTAAAAATCTGAGATGTTAAACACAGAATTAAAGGGTAGGTTCAGAATAAGAAATAAGGGAGAAAAATCTAGAATTTTTAGCCAAATAGGGCAAAAACACAGTATCTGAGGGCATTAACCTATTACTTTTGAAGTAGCCTGGTGGAAGGACTACCTACCTGATTAAAAGTGGGAGGTGGAGGAGGACCAGGTGGGGGTGGAGGGGGAGGAGGAATTGGCATCCTTGCCCTGCTCCCGGTTGGCACTGCTCTCTCTCCGTCTTTATTTGCAGCTTTAGCTCACTCATATACCTGCAAATGAAATAGAAACTCATAAAAACAACTTTACCATTACAGACAATGAGTACTCAAGAGAACTAGAGAGCTGGGCATGGCAACTGAGATATACTGACACCTCATATGCTAGTTCTACTGTGATACAGTCCAGGGCTTAGCAAACTTGTTCTGCAAAAAGCTAGATAATAAATATTTTAGGCTTTGTAAGCAACATACAGTCTCTGTTGCACGTTATTCCTTGACAACTTTTTTTCTTAATACATAAACTTTATTTTTTTAGAACACTTTTAGGTTCACAGCAAAGCTGAGCAGAAATAACAGAGTTCCCATCCCATACCTGCACAACGTACCACAGTGGTACATTTGTTACAATCGAATCTACAGTGACACATCATTATCACCCGAAGTTCACAGTTCACATTAGGGTTCACTCTTGGTGTACAACATATGGGTTTTGGTAAATGTTTTTAACAACATGTATCCACCACTGTATATACCATCCAGAACAGTTCACGGCCCTCAAACTCCTGTGCTCTGCCTAGTCATTACCCCTTCCTCTCAAGCCTAGGCAACCACTGTTTTCATTGTTTTTCCTTTTCCAGAATGTCATACAGTTGAAGTCAAACACTACGTAGCACTTACAGATTGGCTTCTTTCACTCAGTAATATACATTTAAGATTTCTCCATGTCTTTTAATGGCTTGATAGCTCATTTCTCTTTAATACTAAATAATATTCCATTGTCTAATATACCACAATCTGTTTATCCATTCAACCACTGGTGGATATCATGGTTGCTTCCAAGTTTTGGCAATTATGAATAAAGCTGCTATGAACATCCATGTGCAGGTTTTCATGTGGACAAAGTTTTCAACTCATTTGGGTAAATACCAAGGAGTATATAGTAAGAATATGTTTAGTTCTGTAAGAAACTGCCAAACTTTTTCCCAAGTGGCTATATCATTCTGCATTCCCACCAGCAATGAATGAGAGTTCCTTTTGCTCCACATCCTTGTTGGGGTTGTCAGTGTTTTGGATTTTGGCCATTCTAAAATGTACTGTACTGTACTGTACATTTGTGTACAGTACATGAGTGTACTGTAGTGGTATCTCACTGTTTGTTTTAATTTGCAAGTTCCTGACTTACAATGTTGAGCATTTTTTCATATGGCTACTTGTCATCAGTATATCTTCTCTGACAAGGTGTCTGTTTAGGTCTTTTGCCCATATTTTTTAATCGAGTTGCTTTTGTTTTCTTACTGTTGAGTTTTAAGAGGTTTGGTTTTTTTTTAATTAGTTGGGCACAATGGCACACACCTGTAGTCCCTTACGCAGAAGGTTAAGGTGGAAGGATCACCTAAACCCAGAGGGTTGAGGCTGCAGTGAGCTGGTGAGCTGTGATCATGCCACTGCACTCCAACCTGGGAGAGAGTGAAACTCTGACTCAAAAGTAGCTGGAACTACAGGCACGCGCTACCATGCCTGGCTAATTTTTGATTTATTGTAGAGATGAGGTCTCGCCAAGTTGCCCAGGCGGGTCTCGAACCCTCAGGCTCAGGCAATCCACTCATCTCAAACTCCCAAAGTGCTGGGATTACAGGCTGAGCCACCGAGCCCGGCCTGAAGAACTGCTTCTAAGCAAGGTGATTAATGAGATTAGGACATGAGAAAATTCGCAGGTAATCCATAGCACAGATGGGAGACCATCTATACCAAGCCAGGTCTAAAACTCAAACCAGCATAACCACCCATTGGGAAGGCCTGCTCCTGAACTCCTTATAAGGGTGAACAAAATCTCTCTGTGAATAATGGAGTAACTTAAACACTCCTCTCAATTCCCCAGGAATAATGAAAGGAAAGGGAAAATATCCCAAAGGGGAGCAGAATTTGATCAGAAATGTGACTGTGAAAGTCTTCAAAATCCCAACTCTTGCCAGCGTAATCTACCATAGGCTGGCTGTCCAAAAAAGCTGTCTGCTCTAACCACAGAACTGGACAGTACTTGGGCTACGTGGTTCCCATGGGGAATGGTGTCTGAACTCACTTCAAGAAGCAGCTAACCTCCCTCCAGGGGAAATATTTTCACATTTCCATTTTTTTTTGAGTTGGAGTCTCACTCTGTCACCCAGACTAGAGTGGAGTGGCCGCTCCCGGCCACTGGAGCCTCGACCTGCTGGGCATGATCCTTCTGTCTCAGCCTTCCAACACATTTCCGTTTTCAAAGCTAAGTACAGTCTTTCTTTGCCAAAGATCTAACATACTAGGCTTTAAAAATCTATCAAAACAGTAAATCCTCAGAAGTAGAACATCTATCACCAGGGCGGTAAATTTAAAGTATAAGAAACAAGGAGAGGTCGGGCGTGATGGCTCAAGCCTGTAATCCCAGCATTTAGGGAGGCCAAGGTGAGAGGACTGCCTGAGCACAAGGGTTCAAGACCAGCCTGGGCAACTTGGTGAGACCTCGTCTCTACAATAAAAATGAAAAAATTAGCTGGGCATGGTAGAGCACACCTGTAGTTCCAGCTACTTGGAAGGCTGAGGCAGAAGGATCCCTGAGCCCAGCAGGTTGACGCTGGGGTGGCCATGAGTGTGACACTGCAAAAGAAAAGGAAAGAAAGAAAGAAACAAACAAACAAGGAGAAGTAGGAAAAAAAAACTTCTCTTTGAACTCCCTGAGTTTACTATGACCATTCCACTCCGAAGCCCCCACAGCATTCTCAAAGAAAGCTCCAGGAAACAACAGGAAAAATAATAGCTGACTCAGAAACATTTTCAATTACCAGGCACCTCAGTTCCTGTCTTTTCTGAGTTTCTAGTTCTATTAACTATCGGCCATTGCTATGGTTGAAATGATCTCCTAGAATAACCTGGAAAAGATTCAGACAAGTTTCTAACTCTTTCCATATCCATAGGTGATCCAACCTACATGCTACAAGATAAATAATCACCTAAATAACAGCTTTTTACCTTATCGTAAGCTCCACTTATTTAAGCAAAGTAGGAATTCCCTAAAAGGCTAACTTTCTTAAAAGTAACCCACTGGAGCCGAGCTCGGTGGCTCAGCCTGTAATCCCACACATTGGGAGGCTGAGGTGAGTGGACTGCCTGAGCCCGCAGGTTCAAGACCCGCCTGGGCAACTTGACAAGACCTCATCTCTACAATAAAAAAAAAAAACAAAAAAAAAACCAGCCGGGCGTGGTAGCATGCGCCTGTAATTCCAGTTACTTGGAAGACTGAGGTGGAAGGATGGCCGGAGCCCAGCAGGTCGAGGCTGCAGTGGCCGGGAGTGGCCACTGCACTCCAGTCTGGGCAATAGAGTGAGACTCTGACTCAAAAAAAAAAAAACCAACAAAAAAAGTAACTCACTGGAAAAGAGCATTAATTTGTTACACAGTTGGCTGGGCTCGGAGGCTCAGTCTGTAATCTCAGCACTTTGGGAGCCCAAGGGTTCGAGACCAGCCTGGGCAACTTGGCAAGACACCACCTCTACAACACTTCAAAAAAAAAATTAGCCGGGTATGGCAGCACACACCTGTCGCTCCAGCTACTTGGAAGGCTGAGGCAGAAGGATCACCTGAACCCGGCAAATCAAGGCTATGGTAGCCATGAGTGTGTCAATGCACTCCAGCCCAGTAAGAGAGTGAGACGCTGACTCAAAAAATACAAACAAATAAATAAATAAATATTGATTCATCAAGAAACATCACCTTTATATCAAGTGATGACTTAGTGTTGACTACCAGTGACTCTCAACCTTTCTTCCAGATCTGTAACAATTATACGCATGACACACTCCTGTTAGTTATGTTTATTACATAATGATAAACTATAGTCAAGCATTACCCTTCCCCACAAGTGAGGACACCAAACCCCAAAAGTGAAAATGCGTGCACATGTACTAGAGAAAGAAAACTCATCGATCAAAGGGCAACTGCCCAAGATGACTCAGCAATAAACTGCAGAGGAAGAACTCATATCCAGGCCTCCTAATTCCTTCCCTTTCACTAAACACTGTGGGAAAAACAAATCAAATAAACTCTCCTGGAAATTGGTGTGGTTTTAGTGGTTTTCTACTATTTTTCCTCAAATGAAATTTAACTCATTCCAAATTTCTTTTTTGTTTTTTTTTTTTTGAGTTGGAGTCTCACTCTGTCGCCCAGACTGGAGTGCAGTGGCCACTGCCGGCCACCGCAG